TACTTGGAGGGTCGGGGGACTTAGTAACTATAAGGGGTTCCTTAAGGGCCCCTTTAAAGGGATCTATAGGGATTCTCTAAAGGTTTAGGGTATAGGGGGACTTAGTAACTGGCTATTTTAAGGACTTATAAGTACCATAACCCCAATTAGGGTCCCTTTCAGGGAACTTATAAGTCTACTTACTACCTACTTACTAAGTCACCCGACCCTCCAAATAAGCCCTAATGACGTCACTGCAATTGGGGTTCAGAGCTTCCGCAGCTCGAGTCAGAACCATGACGTCTGTCATGGGATTCAGGGTTTTAGGGTTTTGCGGGTAAGATGTCTCGGTTTTTCGCTAATCTTGGGTGGTTCCTTATCATACCGAGCAGGGCACCTAAACCCTAAACTGTAAACCCTTATCATACCGTGCGGGGCACCTAAAGCCTATACTGTAAACACAAGGGGACAAGGGGACAAAGGGATAAGGCGACAAGGGGACAAGGTTAGATTCGTGAGCCCTTCAACCCTGAACCCTAAACCCTAAACCTTAACCCCAGGGGACGGGACAAGGTGGGAATCTTAGGGCCTTACCTATAGTCTCCATTGTAGTTCCTTTTTGGGGTTACCTTTCAGGATCTCGAATATATAAAATTGGTTAAGCCAAAAATCGGAACTACAATGGAGGCTTTAGGCAGGGGTGTGGCGCGTTCTTTTTGGTGTGTATCTTTCAGGGTCCAGGTTCTAGGGGCGATGAGGGTTTGGGGTTCAGGGTCCCTGACTTGTCAGGGCTTATGATTCAGGGCTTATGAGGGTTTGGCATTTAGGGTTCAGGGTCTACAAGGGTTTGGGGTTCATGAAGTTTTTTTTCTTTTTTGCGTAGGGTCTATGGGGGTTTCTCTCAGGGGTATGCAGGAGTCCCTTGTGTTCTTGAAAAGGGTTTAGGATTTAGGGAAGCGGAAATATGAGGCCTACTACAAGACATGAAATCTTAATTCAGACAGCGGAACGCGCAACCCTTTTGAACCCGTTACCAACCTGAAACCCCCAACCCGTTTCTCAACCCTAAACCCTAAAACCGTAGCAAGATCCTTCTGCTTAGATCCCCAATACCCAACCTTTAAGCTTTTGGGGTTCTTACAGTTTAGTAGGAGTCGGAAAGTTTAACCTTGTATTTCGGTGGCTTATTGGGGGAGTAAGTATGAGCTGGTGAAGAAGCAGACAAATCAGTTGCAAGAATTCAGCAGTCCCCTGAGCCTGATCCGCGTCCCCCCCTTCGCTTTGTTTTTAAATCGGGATGCGGCTTCGGTCTGCCTATAGTCTCCATTGTAGTTCTATGTTTTGGGTTTGACCAAATATGTAATTAGGATCCGGCAAGGTAACCCCAAAAAGGAACTACAATGGAGACTGTAGGTGCTTTCCCTGATCGTCAAAAAGCATGGAAATGCAGGGCAGCCATGGGCTGTCCCAACCACCTGCCGTCACAACCGCTCATCGGGCACGTCATGGTCTCCCGAACAAAGGAACAAGCTTACCCATATGAACCCTGAATTAAAACCCATAGCCGTAAAACCCAAATCTGTGCTGCCGATCTTCTAGACTAAGCCCGAAAACCTATGCCCTACAAGCCCTCACCGCCGTAAAGTTTTGACCCTGAGGCGGGATCTGCGCGTCTCTTTGGACGCCAAGACGGTGACGCCCGGGCACCAAAAGAGAAAACGGTCTTGTCTGGATTTTGTTGGAGGGGTCCCATAAGGGCTTTAGCAAAGAAGAGAGAGAGAGAGAGAGAGAGAGAGAGAGAGAGAGAGAGAGAGAGAGAGAGAGAGAGAGAGAGAGAGAGAGAGAGAGAGAGAGAGAGAGAGAGCGAGAGAGAGAGAGAGAGAGAGATAGTTTACCCCTCGATGGCTGGGTTGCACTTGCCTTATCTGACCACTCTTATTGGTTGGGGTTTGGGCTGCAGGTTTTAAGGGTTTTGCGGGGTTTGGCTTTTACGGAGGGTTCAGGGCTTCAGGGGTCCGCTACCTCGCGGCCCGCTGGTCCACAACCTTGTCGTGGCGAGTCACCAAGTCACTTTTGTCTCGTGGGGGAGCCCGCACATGCCCACAGAGCCCAATACCCCTGAATTAAGGAATATTCCTTAAATCATGTTAGGGATCCTACTGTAATTTAAGGAATCATCCTTATATAAACCATATTAGGGATCCTACTGTAATTTAAGGAATATTCCTTAATTAAGGGGTATTGGAGTCTCCGGGAACATGGAGCTCGCGGACGGCGGCCACAGCCGCCAGAGACCCGGGCCCAGCTCCGTGCGCGAAGGCGTTTTCGAGAGCCTCTGCAGGCAGTTCAAGGGGTTTAGGGTTTAGGGTTAAGGGGTTTAGGGTTTAGGGTTAAGGGGTTTTCTACAGTGCCACGGCTGCCCCCCCCAGGTCATGTGTCCGCAGGGGGGGCGCCGTCTTTGCATTTGATAGCCCACCCCAAACCGCCCAAATTTTTACCTTTCACGGGTTTAGGGTTTTTTTATTCGAAAAACCCCGGGGACTATTCTTCCATACCCCCTCCCCGAGGGAAATAAAAGTTGTATGTCGGCGAACCGCCAATCGCGGATTCGAGCAGGCGCGAACGCAATTGTGTTGTGGTCGCTGGGAGTGAAACGAAATCTAACCTGCTGCCAGCCTACCCACTGTGTATTTTATCCAGCCGTTATGCATGTGTAGTTAGCGCTCACGTCGACTAAGCTCCAGGTCATTAGTACGTCGATGCTAAATCCTAAATTTGCTGTGGCGATCATACCGGTGATGGTCCGATTCGGAGGAAATGGCGTTGATGTGATACCTGGGAAGTTACTGGTCCGGTTGCAGCAGCGAACACCAGCATGTGGAGATCCGATGTTGCACACGGGGAGGGGGGGGGGGCGGGGCGGCCAAATAATGTGCATTTTAGAGCAAATCCATGGTGTCGTTTTACTTTGAAGTTAATTAAGTATGTTTAATTTGAGCCATACCTCTTAAGTTCTTGGTGGTTCGTATCAATGTCGTGATGTGTTGGGGGCCTAAGAACAGAAACATCTGAATATGTTTGAAGCAATGTGACTCCAGAAAGGTGGAGCAGAAAGTGAAAGGATGAGGCGCCAGCAACGATTCCTCATCACGCAGATGAGGAGCTTGCAGATTGGACGGTCATCGCAAAGCGATCAGAAAGCTGATGGTGCTATCATAAAGCGACGTCGTTACGGAGTTGGCAGCCTTGTTGGTGAATGGTTTTCAGCTTCTCGGTCATCGCAAAGAAACTTGACAGCTGTGGTTGCTATCGTGAAACGAAGGCGTGACCGCAGCCGCAACGGTTTCGTGATGTATCGTTGGAGGCGTGCTTGCCAGTGTGCTACGGCCAAGGGATTCTTGATCAGTTGCTGGATGCGCTGTCAGTAGATGCTATATGTACTGAACTTTCATAGGGCAGGAGTCAGTTGCGACGGAGCAGAACCGCCCTGCGCAGCGGGCGAAGGTAGATCAATATCTCACCTAGAGCCGGAAGGTAGCCTCATGATGCGACTTCGCTTTAGCGGCATGTCATAGGGACAACGTCGTTCTATGTTTCGCAGGCGGAGGGTGGGGGGGGGGGGCAGGGCGGGCATAAAATTGGAAGAGCCAGCACCTCACAGCCATCGACGACAGGTTTAAAACATGTGTTGTATTTTTGACCAAGGGCACTTTACGAACATGTGTTGGTTGTAGCAATGGACCGGTTGAGATAGTAGCTGAAGCAACGTGAATCGACAAAGAGCTGAAAGTAAAAACATGAAGCAGCAGGAGGGATTTCCGATCACGGAGATTTTGAGCCTGCAGACTGGACGGTCATCGTAAAGAAACTAGACAGCTGCTGTTGCTGTCGTAAAGCGATATCGACATGGGATCTTTCAGCTGCTATGAGACATTTGCAACCGGGCGGGGGGGGGGGGGGCAGGCCGGGCAGAAAATTGGCAGAGCCAGCACCTCACAGCCATCGACGACAGCTTTAAAACATGTGTCGTTTTCTTTACCAAGGGCACTTTAAGAACGGTGTTGGTTTTAGCAATGGATCGGTGAAGATAGTAGTTGAAAAAAGCTGAATCAAGAGAGCAGAAAGTGCACTTGAAGCGGCAGGAAGGATCCCCGATCACGCAGATGATGAGCTTGCAGACTGGACGGTCATCGCAAAGAAATTAGAAAGCTGCTGTTGCTGTCATAAAGCGATATCGTCATGGGGTCTTTCAGCTGCTGTGAGACAGAATTTTTTGCAATCGAGGGCTTGGACTGGGAACTGTTTTGACAGGCTGAGCTATTCGCAGTCGTGGCGCAGTTTGCAGAAAAATAGCAGTTTGGAACAACAACCATGACGGTCAGACCCTCGGACAGCAACTACGGTTCGTGCTGCCAACGTCTGGCTTCAGGTGGCCGCTGAGTTCCACTGACTCCAGGTGCGAGGTGGGTTCGTTACATAGAACAGCGTCCGGCAGCTTTGAGCTCGCCGAGGCTGGAGTGGCCATCCCATGCAAGGCTTGTCGCAGACACGGAGTGCCGGTTGCTGATTCCCTTGCTGAACAGGAGCACGGGTCGACAGTCATGAAGCAGAAGGTCCGTGCTGGTTGGAGATTAGAACGTGGCAACAGCATTCGTGTCTTTGCGTGCTAGGCAGCCGTCGGTACCAGGTAGCCACGGGTGACCAATGAGACAGCGTGAGGAAGCCCTCATCTGCTGGCAAAGAGGTCAACTCGAGGACAAGAAAAAATGGACTTGCACGGAGTGGCGTTCCTGTGCTGCACGGTGCCATTGGATCGATTCGTGAGCAGTGCACACGTTCGAAAGAAGCCGCATCGCAGTCCTCACCGCCGTCCGGCACAGGGACGTTGTACGTAGCCGGCGGCAATTTTCTAGTGCGTGGCGTGCTGCTTCGCTTCGTCTGGTTACTGCCGGGAAAGCTTATCACCGCGTTGCAGGAATCTGGCTGCAAGCATCGTGTTTAGTACTTCGCTCCTGAGCATCATGGGACGTCGCGGAATCGCGAAGGGCGGAAGCAAGGGGGCCGGCAAGTCCGGCGAGCAACCCAAAGAGTCGCAGTACGTCAAGCGTGTCGACTTGTACAAGTTCTTGGGCAAGTGGATGTTGCGTTCCTATCCGGACGAAAGGGGACGGCCTCTCATGTTGGGCGCGAAAAAGTCCACTGCACAAGCGGCGCTGGAACCCGAGGCCTTGAGGGCCATACTGGATGCTGACTGCTGCGAGCTACTCCGACGCCCCACCATGGGGCTCAACCTCGCGGCCGCTTCCATAGACTGTGCGGCTTTGCTCGGGCCGGTGCTGCAGGAGAAGATGGACAGTCTGTTGCCGAAGGTGACCTCGGAGAACTTCCTGGACAAGGTACAATTCCTGAACCTGGCCCGCAACGTGGAGCGCAATCCGGAGGATGTTCCGGACCAATGCAAGAGTCTGCTGAAGAAAGTGAAGCACCTGGTGAGGGATCACGGAGAAGATCTGGCCGCAGCGGCCGAAGCAGCGGCGGGAGTCTTCCTGGGGCTCATGAGCATCCTGGAGGTGGCGGCGGTGTCCAAGGATATGCGCGCGTGGGCCAAGGGCGTGCCAGAACGAGCAAGCACCTGCAAGCTTGGCTCCAGGACCCCGACGACGAGGACAAGTTCTTGGCAGCCGTCGCCAAGGCCGTGAAGGAAGACAACAAGAACACCACGCGGGCTCGGCGCTTCGGCGAGTTCGAGATGCAGGCAGAGGACACGTCGTCCTCCCTCACGTTGCTCAGCAGTCAGGATGACAGCCCCTCGTCGTCGGTGATTCGCGCGAGCAAGAAGAAGCGCGGCAAAGGCAAGAAGCAGACCAAGGCAAAGACATCGAAGAAGGCGAAGAAGAGCAAGCAGCGCAAAGAGGCATCTTCCTCGCAGGACTATAAGTGATTCATCTAGGCCCGGGGGGCGTGACGCGCAAGGGGGTTCAGGGCATTTGGAGCATGGGTTCCAAGCCCTGGACTTGAAAATGATTTGTTGTAGTAGGGTTTGATTATTTTTCCATCAATCAGTCAGCACAAGAACAACAGCCTCTCCAAACAAGTACCGTCCCTTCCCAAGAAAACGCGGCACGTTTTGGAACAAAATCGTCGTGAAAGCTACAAACCTACAACTTGTGATGTAGCCAACCCAAACTGCAAACCGCAAGCAAGCATATCTTCCTGACTTTGTCGGCTGTTTTATGAACTCGAATTCCGCGATTTCTCAGCCGCCGGGCCGAAACTCGATTGGGAATTGGGAATCCGAATCGCAGCACAGTTCAGGCACATGACTCACGTGACAGTGACAGCTTGACAACTTATCATCCAATCTTGCAAGAGGACGTAGGCAGTAGGCATAGCCTAGCTTGCTTGAGGTGTTACATTGGATAAGCCAAGATAAGCCAGATCTTTTCGTTGTGTAGTGTCATAGTGCTATGGCAGAGCCTGCCATCTTTAGGCTTCCAGATCCTGGGGACGGTGAGCTTGAGGACAGAGAGTCCGAGTCAGAGGCCGAGGAAGCTCCCAGGTCTGCAGGTGCCCTGCGGACTGTTCGATATAGGGACAGACTTCGAAATGCTTCCCGTGCAGAGGTTTTGTTTCTGTATGCGAAAACCTGTGGCGACGAATCAGAATCTCTGGGCACCGCTGCTGCAGGGAATTATTTGTTTTGTGTTGCTGAGCTTGGGGGAAAATGCATCAAGCCGTTGGGTGCCCAAGAGCACTTGCAGCAGCAAGATACTTGGCGAGCTCGGCATCAGAAACGTCGCGATCGAGATTTCGCCGCTAAGCAGATGTCCCTCCAGAACCAGACAACCCGAAACCAGATGTTCAAGTGCTGTTTGAAGTCTCTTTTTCGTTTCAGGGCAGCTGTCCAGTTGGGGCCTGCCCAGGCTGCAGTGGCAGGTGCCTGGTGCCGGGCACCTGCAGCTGCTAACCAGGGTGCGGTGACTCCTGTTCCTGCGATGCCCGCCTTGGCTGGCAGGTTGGCGGTTTTGCCTGCAGGGCAAGCGCAATGGGTTTTTCAAGCTGCTGCGCCAAGCGTCATCTTCGAAGCCGTTGCAGATCGCCAGGGCCTTTACACTTGCTTTGCAGACGGACAGGCGGCGGAGCCTGAAGTAGGCACTGCGAGGCGTTACCTAGGGCGTCCTTTCTGGATGGTTCGCTTGCCACCAACTGTCATGAAGCATTTGATGGAGATAGGCAAGGAGTTCGTGGTTCCTGGTGGGCTTGTGACTTCTTTGGGGCACCAGTTGCCCGGAACCGTTCCTGCTGCGGCAGAAGGAAGCCCCAGTGATGGTGCCGACAGTGGTTCCTCTTCCTCCTGCGAGATGAAGAAAGTGCGCAGGCCGGCCATGCAAGAAATCCTGTTGGGAAAGCTCGCTTACAAGCTCAGCTCAACGGTAGGCATTCAAGATGTGGTTCGCACCGTCCTTCGAATGTTAGTGCCAGATAGTTTAGGTCTGGCAGACAACATGAAAGTGTCGCATGGGCATGTGCGGAATATCTTGCTAAAGCTTGATGCCTTGCATTCCTTGTCTCGCCGGTTCCTTGCCCCACCAGGTGGTGGGGCAGACAAGTCGCTGCGAATTGTCAGGTACATCAGTCCTGACAGTTCCCCGCAAGCGAATTATGATTATTTTTGTGCGACAGAAGAGTTGCTGCTCTATCGTTCCGACGAGCTTCCAAGGGATGCGGGTGGAAATGTAGCTCCTTTCAAAGGGTTTGAACACCAGAGGCGTTCGATGTTGTGTACAACAATTGCGAGAGGACAAGGAAGCACAGCTTCGAAGGCAAGCAAGATGGTACATATGATTGCCGTTGAGAGTGGTGCGTCTCTCTTTGAGACGTATCGTTCGGAAGTTCGGGGCTTCTTAAGCGATCAAGGAACGGAGCGAGGCATAGCATCGTTTCCAGTCCGCAGTTGCTCTGAGGTCCAGAGTATTGTGGGCGCTCAAGCTTTGGCGAGCGAGGCAATACAGGAGGATTTTCGTGAATTGCCGCTCTTTCATTCCGCTCTACACATACCGGGAACACTACACATAGTGTTTAACGCACTGGAATTCAGCTTGAAGCAGCTTGAAACCTGGCAAAAATTCGAGAAACAGTTGAACAGCATCACCCGTGTGTGCAAAGAAAAGAGTTACTCAGAAGTAATTCTTGTGAGAATGATGAAGCATGCGAGCCCCGAGGAGAGACGGTTGTTGCATCGGATGGATGACCTCTTAGACTGGAGGTGGGATTCGCTCGCAAGAGTGCTGAAGGTTTGGGTTCCTCTATATCCCACCTTCAAGAAATATTGGAACCCAGCTGTTTTTGGTGGGGACAGCTCGTCAGTCACAATTCGAGCTGTGACGGAAGCGTTGGCAGACGAGTGCCATTTCGACATGGCAGTGTGGACGCATCAGTTCTCTGCCGAGGCCACCAGGCTGGCCCACTTTTTCGAGGGTTGTCACTGCCATCAGGAGCAGCTGACAGACCCAGAAAACCGGGAAAAGATAAACTGTTGTTGGAAAGGCAGGCGCTTGCCTTGGCTTGCGGTTGGTAATCTCCAGGGAGCTTTGCAAGATGCCATGACAAACAACGAGATTAGTGTTCTTGCGCATCTCTTGTCTCGTTCTAGTGAAACTGCAAGTCGGATGGCGCACATGGCGGACACGTGCAACAAAGTATTTGTTGCCGTTATCCAGCAAAAGCTTGCGTATGCTCAGCAAGTACCATGGGTGTTTGCCGCAGCGTTTGCGGGGTATATGGGCGAGACTTGGGGCCGAGTGAAAAAGGTTCTTCGGCCACATCTTCAGAACGTTGACAACATGATCTCCAGTGGCCAAGTCGGCGCTCTAGACTCTGTTACACATGCTTTGTTTGGACCAACCGACACAGGCCGCATGCTCCGAGAGTTTCTGAACTCGGAGGATGACGTGCCCCTTGATCGATGGCCAGCGTTGTTTTGGAGAGTACAGGAATATGCCTTTGTTTCTTTGTCCGAGCGACACACGGAGAGAGAGCATGTCGGTGTCAAGGTTGCAGCAAACCGTGGTCTCACAAAGGCTGGGCCTGCAGTTGTCTGCAGCCGCAAGCGCAGAGATCAAGTGTTGGAGATGCTGGAAGATGAGAAACAGCTCGCTTTCTTGGTCAAAAATTGGCGCAGCAGGCGCCTTTGGAGTAGCCTGCTGGAGCACATGCTCACTCACGAAGAGGTTCGACTTATGGAGACGCCAAAGAGGCTTTCCCGCTTGTACGGGTATAGCGAGGAAGACCACTTCAAAGATTGCGAGGACTCTGTTCGTGCTGATGCCGTTTACCGCCAAACTTTGAGAGATCAGACTTTGTTACTGGCCGGAAGCTTCAAGCTTCCGAGTGCTTCCTACCAGGTAGTGAACTGGCTGAAAGGCCATTTGGCGACGGGCGTGTTTTTCAGTGTGTCCACGCATGTCTTTGAGCTACTTGTCGACAGGGGTCGGAGATGTGAAGACCCAGCCGCATCCTTCAGAACCGACGTGCTGCTGTCTATTCTGCGAGCCGACGTCCACCCTCGGGTAAGTGATCGTGCTTCGGTTTTCTGCTCGGTGCTGGATGCCAGGCCAGAAGCAAGAACGGATGCTCGTGTTTCGCGACCTGCTGCACACATCACAGACCCGAAGCTAGGCCGCCGCAGCTGTGTGGTTGTGCAGCGTTTCCACGACGTGGATGTTTCCCAGGGCGTGCACGGCCTTGGTGGAGATGTGCGGGTGGCGTGCACGAATGTGCGGATCGAGGTTCTCGACTTGGCACGGGTGTGCACAGCAGAGAACTTGAAAGCCTTTTGTGCAAACTGTTTGCTCTGGCGTGCTATGCCTGCGGAACTGGCCTTGGCTCTGGGAGACGAGTCCACGCAGCCAGGTTTGCTGCAGGAGCCGCAAGTGCAGAAACTTCCAGAGATTGTCTTAGACAGCGATCCTGCCTGCTTGTTGAGTCGACCGCCTCCGGATCCGCATGTGGAAGATGCCCTCGACATCCTGCACCCCCCTGCCCATGTCGTGCAGAATGCGGACGACTCTGCGGTGCTGCAGGTCTACGGTGCTCCGTGTAGCGACCGAGAAATGCAAGCTATCAAAGAGTTGCTGCGAGCAAGGGCCATCGGCATTGAATCTGCTGTGTATGCCACAGACCTTGAACACTTCGATGCTGTTGCACTGGAAGGCTTGCGTGACCGAGGTCTTGTCATCTGCGAGACTGATATGTTCTCAGATGTATCCGTCGCCTTGACGGGCAAGTTGACCTACAGTGCAAGCTTGGTGCTGGCACGGCCATTGTTGCTTTGGGAGCTTGACCAAACGACTTTGACTCGAGGCCAGATGCCAGGCCGATCAAAGTTGGAGTTAATTCGTTTGTTGTTTGTCTTGGGCTGGGAGCCAGGGCTGGGCCGGGAAGCGTGGCATCGCAAGCAGGGAGAGAAACGTCTTCCAGATGACGTTCTAGTTTGCAGCCTCCCCTTCCTCAGAGCTTTGATGCTGAGTCGGCTTATATGGGAAAAGCCCGGCAACTTGTCGGGCATTTACTTGAAAGGCCCCCAGCAGTATTATGAGTTCTTGGTGGATCAGGACGATCTCAGCAGCTTGCGGGATGCTTCTGCAGAGGAAATCAATGCTCGGTTCGCGCAGAAGAAAAAAAGACCTGCTGGCCGCAGCTTGACAAGAGATGCGGCTACAGGTCTGGAGCTTGACCCAGAGGCTGATGATGCCGAGTTAGAAGAGCTTGTGCAAGAGCTGCCTGAAAAGCTCATGCAAGCAGAAGAGCCGCAGCCAAGCATGGCCAGCGGTGGTAGACGTGTCGCTCCTCTAGAAATCGACTTGGGAGGCGGTAGGACACAGGTAGTGCATTTTGACAATTTCACACACTCCAGCGGTCAGCTCCGAGCATTCGTTGCTT